GGCCTCGGCCAAAGTCTTACATAGCCTCGAGCTCACTAGACTCTAATGGAACAATAATACCGACCAAACGAGCAACAAAACTTGCTTTGCTGTCTTTTGCATGCCTTTCGGCGTACAAGACTACCGTAGCTGGAGTCGACGCGCCATCGTCACATCGTAGCGAGGTAATGTTTAGCAAATCTTAGTTATTTACAGGCTTTTGCAGTTTTCTTATATACAAGGGTTTCCATCACAATCCCAGCAATTCAATCTCTGTATCTACAGCTTACATTAGAGCCTTGACTTTTGAGACAGGGAGGTGATGCAGAGAATAGTTTGATATTGAAGTGGCGTATTACGTATCCACCTGCAGTACTGATACAACATGTTATCAAAGGAGCAACAGCGGTTCCAAATGCACGGTCAATCAATCTGACCCTCTCGGCTGCATACCCCGCAGACTGGAGCCACTTAGGATTTACCACATCATCAAACAATATCAACTAGTCGCTAGGCATAATGGACCACAAACAAAGGCTTGCAGAACGATCGAACGGCACGAGAAGTTCAATGTTCGCTTGAGTTTCACTTTCCAGAGGATATCAAGAACAAGCGAGATCGGCACTTAGTCTTATATAGATTGTGAGACGATCTTAGAAAAAGTACTTCTAGATCTAAGTCTGCAGTAAGGAAGAAAGGCGACCATGATGCGAATAAAAGATGTTTTTGATGGCAAAAGCCAAGAGCTGAAGTCATGTATATACCAAATGCATTCCCCAGCAGGCCGGGTATTCTAAAATCACCTGCCAAGCCTTGCATTGCATCTGGGATGTTCTTGAGTGCATGAGATAAGAAATCGATTGCAAACGTCGATTTGTACAAGCCTTGCTCGCATCGAATCATAGCCTATGTTGGTTAAGTTTATATACAACAGTGATAGTCACAAAATTTCGGCTTTGCATTCAATTTTTGCCTGCCAGATATTTCCCTCTGAGATGGCAGTTGATATGATCCTACCAAAACTAAATCACCTAGCAAGCCCAGCTTTACTTCGCAAGATAGACCAACTTCGCGAGAAGAATGTTGGACAACACGTTCCTCTTCCACAGGTGAGCTGTCAACGTTCTTCTATAGCTCTCTCTGCTTAGCTGCATATAGCTCGTCGTTGTTGGCGATCAAAGTAGTGGCAAGTCGTCTCTTCTCGAAAGCTTGACGGGCGTTCCATTTCCTCGCAATCTGGAGCTTTGCACACGATATGCGACACAAATAACATCCCGCCGGGATCCAGAATCTCGAGTGGATATCAAGATCATTGCTGGCCCTCGTGCTTCTGATGAACACAAGAGGCTGGTCGCCAGTTATCGTCCAGAAATTCCATCAACAGAGAATTTTCGCTCTCGTTTCCCAGAAATTTTGAAGGAAGTAGGTTTGAATAGAATGAAATTTCATAGCCTCTTACAATCACTGACTGTGTGAACAGGCGAACGCTCGAATGGGAATTCGAACCGACCTTGCTTCGTCTGAAGGGACTGTTTTCAGCGAGGACATCTTGAAGATCGAGATATGCGGCCCTGATGAGGATTATTTAACGGTAATCGACGTACCGGGAATTTTCCGCAATCCGAGTGAGGGAATCACCACTAAAGCTGATATCCAGCTTGTTCAAAACATGGTGAGAGGCTACATAAAACATAGCCGTACCATCATCCTTGCCGTCCTACCCAGCAATGTGGACATTGCCACCCAGGAGATCCTTACCATTGCTGAAGATTTTGACAAGAGCGGAGAGCGCACTTTAGGTGTACTAACAAAGCCGGATCTGGTAACAGAGCAAAGCGCGCAAGCCAACATTTGCAGCTTGGTTCTAGGAAAAAAGAGACCACTCACGCTTGGATACTATGTCGTCAGAAGCCGAGGTGCAGATGATGAGCATGTCTTCAATCTTTCTGAAGCGGAAAGTATCTTTCTTAAGGCACCTTGGAACACACTGCCCAAAGATCGTCTAGGCGCAGTGGCTCTGAAAGCACGACTCACTGAGCTGCTGGGCCAAATTACCCGAAAAGAGTTTCCGGAGCTCCTGAAAGATGTCCGCCAACAACTATCCGACTGCCGTGCAACTTTGAAACAACTCGGTCCGGCCCGCCAGACGGAGAGAGAACAGCGACTGTTTCTAAGTAGCCTAGCAAGGCGTTTTCAGGACCTCGTAGAAGCCGCTTTATCTGCGCGATACTCCTCGCATGAGATCTTCGATAAAGTAGAGCCTAGACTCATCACATATGTGGCCAATCTCACCGAAACCTTCAGCTATGACTTTGCGCAGAAGGCACATTTACGATATTTTGAAACCAATAAGTCAAATGACGAATAGGAAGACGATGAATCGGACAAGGATGTTCAAGATGACTTGTCGCAAGATGCAAATGGTCGAGAAAGGGCTATTCTTCTTGAAGACATCAATCTGGATGAGTACAGCGTCCTTGATAACATTATAAGCAAGGACAACACTATCGAAGACCCTCGAAACGGTATAACGAAATGGACGGAGAAACTGTATTTGCAATCTCGCGGTGTGGACTTGGGTACTTTTGGTGGAACGATCCTTTCTAGTGCCTTCAAGGAGTAGTCGGATAAATGGCCGTCCATGACCAAGATGTACGTCAGCCATGTCATAGTGGTCATTCACCGTTTCATGGTAATTGCTCTGGACACGCTCTGTGCAGACTCATGCGTTCGAGAGGAGATATGGGCTTCAATCCTCGACGAGGTGCTTACGAGATACAAAGCGGCATTAGACCAAGCAATGTTTCTCGTATCCTTGGAGAGAGACAAAAGACCATACACCGTAAATCACTACTTCAACGACAACCTCCAGATCGTTCGCGGGAATCGGAAGGCAGCCATGTTGAAAGCGAAGTCGCGACAGGAGATCAAGAGAGGATTCCATAATTCCGCCCAGGTCTGTGACAATCTTGTAGTAGACCTTGAAGATGTCAGAAGTACGACCAAGAATAAAAGCAACGTTGATCAGGTCAAGGAAGAAATCCACGACATTCTATGGTCTTATTACAAGGTCGCTAGGAAAAGATTCGTCGACAATGTCTACCAACAAGCCGTCGATCACTGCTTACTTACCGGACCGAGAAGTCCTCTTGCTGTGCTTACACAAGAATGGGTTATCGAACTGGACAGTGAACGACTGGAGATGATTGCAGGGGAATCGCTACTGACAAGACAACAGCGACTGACTTTGTTGAATAAGATTGGAGATTTGGAAGCAGCGTCGCGAATTCTTGGAAGCTGAGAGAGCGTATTCCTTTTTGTAAATGATTCAGCAGAAGCAGTTAGGATCAGAAAGCACTTGGGTTATTCGTTTATTGAATGTGCTGAGCCGACGCACTCAGGCCTCGATATACATATTTCTATCATTCTAGCTCAGCTGGATGAAGATGACAAGATCTCGCGAAGCAAGAACTTCAAAACCCCGCCTGCATAGGCAGATTCTTTCGGAAAATATTTCCCACTTCCAATAGTATATTGTCTCAACTCGTCGAGGGAGGGAAAGAGCTCAACTCCATCTTGCGAGGTATCCACCAGATCTACGAGATTGACATGGATCGTCTTGATTTTCTGTCCATTCTTAGATGAAGCGTTCTTCTGGATGACTGCCACGATCTTACCTCCTTGCAATGGTGGATAGTTTTGGGCAATGGCTCGACGTAGAGGGCTATGCAAAGCTTGTGCCAGTTCTCAATATTGGAAACATCGGTACCGTACAAGCTATTGAATTGGATGACCATTGCGTCTTTGAATCCTCGACGAGCTTCTTCGCGTTCCGCGTCATCGTTACCCCAAGCAAAGAAGTCGCACATGCGATAAAACTCTTCCGCCACACCTCTCTTAGGGTCGTAAGGGAACTTTGGATACTTCATGAAGAAAGCCGAGATTGCGTCCGAATCCTGCTTCTTTCCGTGTTGATGGCGCCGGGGGAGACGTGGTTGCTTTTGATACATTTCAGCATGAAAACCCCCAAACGCATTCATCCGTTTGGATCACCTACCCTTTTGCTTGATCCAGATTGTGAGCCGATAGGGTGGAGAAACTTGCAATTTGTATCATAAGTGCAAGAACCCTTGCCTTGGAACTGACAGCATATATTGTGAGAGCTCTTACGCATGTTGTAGTTGGTGTTTAGGATAAACCACAGATAATCTGATTCTTGAGGAAAGGATGGTGAGTGAAATAGTGTTAGTAGAAATTTATTTATTTTTTGTTTCGTGTGGAATGAGATGCAAATGTTGATAAAGAATACTGCACGATCCCTCATCAGAATTTGGGAGCTGCTATGCAGCTAAGGATGAGGGATTGTAGATTTCATGCTTCATCATGCAGCGTGCATTCTAGATGCTGTGCTATTGTATCACTTGTTGATTGAGATAGCTATGAATATTGCATTGATAACATTCAGTGGAAAAGCCATCTATGTTATGTAAGTAGAGTACGCCGCTGAAGAGACTACCAAAGATGCTCTCCTAGTTTACTGATTGTGAACGTAGATCACCCTCGTGGCAAGGAATACACACGATCAAATGCCAATAAGAGATCTTGTCTTGCTTTGGCCGGACATGATTCCTGTACTGCACAGCCGCTTGGACTCTTGGTTCTTCCACCCCCTTCCATAGTGCATGCATATCCCACTCTCGCACCGATCTCCTTCCATGCAAGTTCTCCCGTGGTCGGCCTAGTTATCACAGGCATCGTTGTTTCATTGGCTTACAATCTTTTGTGACTGCTGACAGCCATTTTATACTAAACTTGATTAGGAAAAGGTCACGCTATTCGAAGCACGGCCTGGAAATCATTGGGCAGTAGCTTCCGCTGATACTAGTGCGAGGTCGCTTGTCGTTGTTGTTGAGGCTAAGGGCCATGGGTTTCTACTCTAGCCAAGCCGACTTCAGATCATCAGACCTTACACGTGATTTAGACGATCGTTGTTCGTTGTTTTGATGTGCGTGCAGACCTCAAAGTGTACCTCACTATGACTGAAGGCATACATCCATTGAATCGCGCTAGACGCGATGGACTTTGGGCACGAGGTCGGCGAGTCCAAGCTGTAGTCCAAGATACGTCTCGCTCATACGGGCCAAGAGCTAGAGGACCACAAACAGAGGGCAATGCAGCGAATGAACAAAGAGATTGTCGTTTTCATGGAACGTTATCGGTGGGTGTTTGCTGCTGGTGTGTCAATAGGAAAGTTGACAGTATACTTTGGACGCAAGGCCGCAGGCAGGCTGTAGATATGAATCTGAGGATCAGCCATGTGGTGCATGATGCTCATCGCACTAAGCTGTATTCGGTTATTTGCGAACATGACATATCGCAACACACGCTTTGCGTTACATAGCGTTGCAGGGTCTTTCTGTGACTAAGTCCACGAAGTAACGTGCACCACCAGTTGCAATGATGCGATCACTCCACCGTTCTCACGATGCTTTTTTGCCTCTTAAACCATCAAAACTAAGGTCTATCTTGAGCCTTTGGTAACTTTGAACCATGGCATGTTTTTGCGAAACCTGTAACAAACGATTTGGAGATCAGTACGCATTAGTCCAACACTTCGACAACTCGCCACTTCACGTCGGCTCGTACGATTGCAATGCCTGCAATCGAAGTTTCGACAACCGAGGTAGCCTGAAACAACACCTCCTTTCTTCGGCTCACAAGCCTTCATACGACTGCTCAACCTGCGATAGAACGTTCGCTAGCCAGGAGGCTCTACAGCAACACCTTCGCGACTCACCTACATGTTGTACAGAATGAACCTCTCTTACAACCACTTTTCTGCTGCTCCCTGGTTCTATGCATTATCATTAGGTACAGTCCTGAGGAGTTGTACACACACTGGAGAATCTGGGTGTGCGTGACGCGATGATAAAGTAGAGAAGGTGTAACGATGCATGGCGTGGCTAGGTGAGCGAGGTGCTTCATCTGCAGGACGATGAGACAGCACCACAAGTAGCTCTCGGAAGAGTTTTTGGGCAACGGCGAAGGTATCTGGTAGGCAGCGCATATATCTCTCGAACTCCATGTATCGTTCACAGCCTGTATGTGTACTAGCACACCGTATCTCGAATTCTTCCTTCATCGTTCTCTTCGTCACTCTCAAGGGCCAAGGCTCAATAACAGTGTGCTTGTATTTGATGTTCAAATCATATTTTTGCATCAGCTTGTGCAACCAGATGTCCTTCAAGAAAATGTCAAATGCCTTGTAACAGCCTTTTATACAAGATCAGATATCCCTAACCTCAACCCCGCAGGCCTCGAACCACCGCCCCACGTCGTTGCTTGTCAGTGTCTTGCCGTCCCAGACGTGCTGCGCCCAGTCACGCTCCTTATCCCACATGCGGTAAGGGTCTGAACGCTGGCGTTCGGCGTTGAGCCAGGCTTGTGCAAGCGGCAGTGTCGGAGGGTGGGAAGACGACCAGGAATCGAGCGGTGAGAGGGGCAAGTCTGTGGACGGTTGAATGGGCGTTCGGAGAGTGGGAGATGCCAGATAGCATCGGGCGTGATTCATTGAAGTGGCATCGGGCGAGAGAGTCTCAGCTTTAACAACAGATTCACGTTTTCGGCGGCTCGAGGCGATGAAGTCCTGAGGTTCGTTATGCTCAAGCACCGTGTCACGCTCGGGCTTGCGCTTCTTGGGGCTCTGCGAGCGTTTCCTCACTGCGGCAGCGGAGAAGAGCTCACAGTTGGCGGCGGTTACGAAGCCACGAGCATCTGCCAGGCAGGCGTCGGAAGAGCGCAAGGCGAGGCGTCGGTCGGTCTTGCACTCGAGAAATGCGTCGAGCAGCGAGAAGACGGACCATGCAAAGCGCGCATACAGCATATCAACGCCCACCGCCGTAGGGTGCAATTCGCGGTTGTGGTAGAGATGCTCGAGCTCGGGCGAATACTCGAGCAAGTGTGCAACGAGCCGCATGCCACCACCGTCGCCGGTCGGCTTAGGAACAAAGGCGATACGGGGCTTGTCAAAAGCGATGTGCAGATCGGCACGCAGCAGTAGCGCGTTGGCCGTGTCGTCAGGTGTAGATGTCGAGCCCGTGTTATACCGCGACATTTCGTTGGCCCTCCACCAGTCGAGCTCGGCCTGAGGCACGACGTGAGCGACTTGCAGCTGCTCGCGACAGCCACTCAGGCGACATGAACCGTCGCGCATGTGCAGGGCGATCGTAAGGTTTGAAGGTGCGAAAGTGATGCCGGACGACGCGGTGTTCACATTGGGTGCCATCTGCTGCCAGTGTATGGGAAGGTGGTCGTGCGGGTAGCTCCACTAGCGGAAGTTTGGGACAATAGCATATGGATCGTCATCGGCGCCGTCGAGGTGGAAGTAGTAGCTACGTCCGCGCAGCGTGCTGGCCGGGTCGATGGGGGCGCTTCCGTCTCGCAGCAACGACAGCCAGCATTTACTAGCGCAGTTCCCAGCAATTATGGTGCAGGCATCAAGCGCAAGCTGAGCATAGAGACCAGGCTGCCCATCGTCGTCGATGTCAGAAGCATGTAGCTTGAAGAGAACATTGTTGCCATCATCATAGCCAGGATGGCGAAAGAGAATCTGCAATTGTCGATGGTAGAGGGCGGAGGGTGGCGATGCCGGTGCGCGGATCTGGACCATGGGCGTGGTGGTGACAAGATGCCTTGCGTTATAGACAAGAAAGAACGCGACACGAAGATGGGTTGGCTAAGCAACGGGAAGGTCTAACTAAAGTGGGCTACCGTCTTGGCACAGTCACTGCATAGTTTCACTCAGTGTAAACTGAAAGATAGCAGTGATGACACAACAGTGAATGTTATAATTTTAGGAATCAACGTCCGTCCCGGGTATTAGTTACATAATTGACCAACGAGCGTTCTGATACAACACTCATTGCTACCGAGGCGACATGGCGTCACCATGACCTTAAGGGTCGAACCCAATCCGCGAGCACGCTGCATGCTTCCGGAGTTTATCTTCACAAAGGACTGCGCTGCGCAGAGCACAACAGCACCGAGTCTGTGCCAACGGAACCCTATTGGGCTAATGCTTGCCAGGTCTTAGTAGTCGACTCCATTAACGCAATGTCCGCACTAGTACCCACAATCTGTGTTGCAAAGCGCCAGTTCTGACCCTCGTCCCAAACCGCCCGAAGAGGGTGCTGCTGGACGCGCCTTCCTTGATCGAAGTGGAGGGCGCCGCTCGTGTACAGGGTTCTGTTTGGTAAGATGAAGACTCCTGCCACACCACGAGATTGAACCTACATTGTCCGGATTGAACGACGCACGCACCACATACTTAACCACATGGTTTGCCCGAGCCAGCATTCTCACATACAGCGGCGATTTCTTATGCTGTTTCATAGCCTGTTCATTTGCAAAAGGCCCTGTGCACACGTCGTACCTCCTCCAGCCGCTTGATGTAAATCGCTACTCTCCTCTTAAGCGCGCGTACGGACGTGAAGTTGAGGAGCGAGCCCGCCAAGGCGTCTACCACGTTGACAAGATAGACTTTCTCACAGTCTATATGCGGATCCGGCCGATGGTTTTCACGCAGAAGAACATTCAAGCAGGCTTTCGGGCAACAGACCTTGTCTCTCCTTGCCCAGATCGCGTCTTGTCGTCATTGACTATCGTCCATACACTATCACCACCACAGACAACTATAGACAACGCTGCCTGGCAAGCAGAGACACTCCATACAATAGCTCAGCTCCAGCAGTAGGCAAAACGTCTCGAATCCCGGCTCCATCGGGAATCTCAGAGCCCAACAAGCCAGCTTCTCCGCCAAGTTATTGAAGGCTGTCAGATTGGATGCAATCAGCGACGATACTTGCTGAAGAAAACAAGAAGCTACATCAAGGTAATGAGCTTCGGCGACAGAAAAATGGACAGCGGCGTCAATATATTGCGTCTGGTGGAGTACTCCAAGTACAGAAGGCTCAGCAGCTTACTACAGAGGTACAAAGGGCAGTCATGGAGGTTGAACAGGGCTAAATAATGAATTGTGTCTTTATATTTTATGTAGTTATCTGATTTTACCTTGTCGTGGATCTATTGTGTGTCGCGTCGGGTCAGGTTTGGTGGAGTGGCCGGATGACTAACCCTTGTCGTACACCACCGCAAGGCGATCCTGATAGCTCTCCTCTTACACTGACACCTACAACACCTCGCTCATTGATTCAGTTTGCTAATGAAACGGAGTGTCTACTTAGCGAAGAGCAGCAGCGCGTGAGCGTAGGAACATGCAAAACAGCTTGCGCAGGCAAGTATCAAAAGGAGAAGTATTAGCGGTGAGAAAGGCTCGATCGACGAGCTCAGCAGGACACTGAGAAGGCTGTAGTTACGGCAGCCCGCGCGATGGGCAAAGGCTTGCAACAAAGACGACGACAACACAACGAGGACCTTCTACGGCACCTACACCTGCAGGGGCCGAGTCCGTCAACTATAGCTACGATCTGTATCATTCATAGCCTTAAATTATATTACATTGTCGTTGAAATCTATCCCATATAAGACTTTTGAACAAAAATTTACGTTGAGCTGCGCTACCTAGAGGACAAGCGCACGCGGCTGAGTACACACACCAACGTCAAGTTTTCTAGAATAGGTGTAATTTTCGTTAAATATATACAAATCCCTTACAAGAAACTAATTACAGCAAGTTTTAAGACGTGCAGCGTGCGCGCTGTGGAGCTATAAGCTATAAGAGCAGACAGTTAGGACACGTCTCACACTCAAAACAAAAACACACAGACCACTCTGCTTAGTAATAAGAGAACCCCAGCAACAGAATGCCACTAGAAAGCGATACTATC